TTTAGGAGCCGATGCAGAAACGATGGACTGAATGGCCTCTTTCTGTGCTGTATAATTCTATGAATTCCTTATGGCAAAGATTTTACAGCAGTGAAATATTGAGAGCTTCTGTCTTTCCTTTTGCTATACAGGACATCTCACTGGATTTGTTTTAGTGCTTGTAGATTTAGTGTGTTACTCTCCTTGGTGATATTTCTTCAACTCACTGTCATTCTGAAGTCATCTGGTTATCTGTAAATATGGATTGCACTTTGATTTAATGTATAACACAGATTTATTACTATTGTTTGCAGGGGTGGTTTTGTTGTTGCTTTGGTAAATTTCTGCAAAGATATCACCATCAATTTCTGGTAAGTAGAGACACATGCCTGTTATGATTATTAATAAATATTTATAATAATTATTAGGAATAATAATCCTCAAAGGGCTTTGCAGGATTCACTTAATTTTTCTCTGTTAAGTGTTGGTGAACTATATTGACATTTAACACACACATTTGGTTCAAAATAATAAATATAGATCTCAGCAAGAAAATGAAAAATAAAAGCTGGAATTGTTCATGTAATACAACTGTAGCAGATATGCCTTATATTTTGCTCTGAGTGACAGATAAATTTTCTTGGTTGCAATTTTGAATATTTTGCCCTCTGATACCTGGATGCTTTCAGCATGTAAATGTTCACATGGCTGGTCAAATCTCACTGCTCGACTTATTTTTACAGCTAACGCCAATGGAGATAAAGCAAATCTGTCCTGGTAAGTGAAATTGTTTTCAATCCCTTTTCTGGCTTGTCATGGTAATTCATTTGAGGTTTGTCATTCTAGTTCAGGAGCAACTACTCCTCCTGAAGTAGTTCAGAAGGAACCACTGAACTAGTTCAATAGTTCCTCTGAGCGAGACCAACAGCAAGTGCTAACACTTGAGCAGTTGTCAGTGTAAGACATTGATATTCCTGGAAGTTATTGTTATCATTAGGTACAAATTCATTCAGAACTTCAGCAGCAATGTATTCTCCCTTATGTGCAGAACCCAAGTCTGAGTATTTACTAAAGGATATATGTTAGCATCAATGTGCAGTTGTTTTCTGACAAGTGGAACAAAGACCCATTTACTAAGTTCTGCTTAGCACAGTTGTTCAGTAAATGGCAGATTAGAGTTCAAGATCTAATCCTGCTATGCTTTATAATAAAATAATCTTTGTATTTGATATGGTGCCTAATCAAGTCATTGAGATGTCTCAAAGTGCTTCACAGGATATAGTGTAAGTGGATGGACTGTGTATGTTATGGGCAAACCACAACAGGTACTTTGCACACACATTAAGCACTCTTAGTCAAAATCTGCACTAGAATGAATAATTTAGAACATAACATGATGGCATTCAAGATTAAATAGTTATATAGCTTCCAGATATAATTTTGTTATAAAATTGTGTAAACTGGTAGCTATTTATACATCACAAATTCACTATATCATAGCTTCAAAAAAAAGCTAATTTTAACCTCTGGTGTTGGTTATTATTGGTTGTTTTGCAGAGGTAGAAGAAATTTTCTGTGGACAGTCAACAACATCCACACTCAGTAATACATTGCCCTTCACATAGGATGAACGCCTCAAAGTGCTTCACAAAACTAACTGTCATGAAGCAACTCTCGTTATTTCCAAGAGACTCCCATGAGAATTAGCTGTGACAAGGAAAAGAAAACACACAGTGCCCTAATGTGCAGCAAAATATTGATTTGACATTTTCAAATCCATTTCCAACAATGAAATGTCAGTATTTAAAATGTTCCTTTGAATAAAACATGCTTCTTTGCAGTTTCTTTGCCTGATTTCCCATGCACCAAACCATGTAAAACTTAGAGTGGTTGTAAAATCCATCAAGAAACATTTGTGNAAAAAAATGTGATATATCCACATAAAGAAAGACAGTTCTATTGTATTGCTAACATTTAAATCGAAGACAGAGTAAGGACTCTTCCAGGTTTGAGATATGTTAAACAACACAACTTACTTGGGATTGCTTCCTCACTCATGTGCAATTAGCATGTGCAAATATTTGATCCAATCAGTATTCAGATCACAATATGCATACATGTAACATGTTCTTGGATGTCTTGCAGCTTCTTCCTTGCCAATGAAGTTTGACATGGATGACTATTTAAAACCTATAATAAACCAATCCAATACATACTCAGAGCTGATGTGCATGTTTCTTATAGGGATGAGCAATGGATCCAAGAGAACCCAATTTCAACTCAGCCCATTTTAGTCTTAATCTGCCTCGGTTTTTTAAAAAAAATGTTGCTGTGTTTTTTTGGGGGAAAAATCTCCCCTTAAATCTCATTTCCTGAGAACAGTATGATTCATACAAAAGTGTAGTTCCACAAGCAGCAGCAGCTCGCCAGTGCAGTGCCTGAGTGACCTTTCTTCAGGTATGTCCCTGGGCAGCAAGAGTTCTTAACAGGAAAGTATTATATTTCACCCCAAGCCACATATTTGCACACTTTCCACCAGAGGTCACTAAGTTAGAGAGAATTTTGGTACATTGAGCCATTTCTCTGCAGAGTAGTAGGATATCTCCTTGATTAAACATTTCCTGGCCTAATGAATCTCTGATCCCAGTAGGATATTTAGCAAAGTTAGTCAAGGAAGGGACACGTTTCTTTCAAGACAAGGCAGCAAACTTGCATTAACCAAAAACATTCTTGTAAACCTCTGCCAATAATGGTCATCCGACACATTTTTGGCAGAAGTTAATGATCAGATGAACTCTCTAGGTAAAGAGTAATAACTTCTCTGGAGGAGCTGGGAATTAAAATCAGGCAGAACCAAAGGGAAGAGAAGTTCAAAACCAACATTTTTTCAATGAAAATAAAAAATGACTTTTCTTCTTTTGCTTGTTAATTGTTCATCATAATATAAAATTAACATGATAATTCAGGGTATTTATACTTACTAATAATATTTATTCACATCAGTTCACCAGCAAACAGGAAATAGGTAACAGGGGCCCTGATAGTTAAATGGAGTGTGCATGAAATTCTATAAGGATGTACAAATTTGTGGTATTTCTTAGCAAGATTCCAGCATAACAAAAGCGTTAAAATTCCTGTGCTCAAGAAGTAAAGTGCAGCCCCATTATAGCGCACTTTAGAGCATAAATTCACTGATGATATGGTTGCATTGTGGACTGACGGCATCTATTGTGCTTCTTGCTCTAAAATAAGGCCAATTCTGGGTCATCAGAACACCACTGATATCACTCTCATTTCCTGCATTGCAAAGCAGGATATGACAACACTATGAACCGGAAATCAGCTAGTTAGTTTCGGAGCAGGAAGCCAAATTAGCCAACGTCTTGGTTGTTTGGAGCCTTCCAACACAACTTACTGCTTTGTGAATGCACAACGAAGCTGGAATTCACAAGTAACCAATAATCCAGAACTCAGGCATTTAGCTCAAAAAGCCAGCCAGTGCACAGGAAGCATGTAGGACTAATGTGCAACAGTAGAGAACAGTGCAACTGCATTATGTGCAAACTTGTACTGTAGAGAAGGGAGTTAAGCAGGGCTGCTCTGTGTGTAGCTGAGTGAACTACAGGCCATGATTTGATGACCAGTTCTCAGTTTAAACACGTGTTTTAGTTATACTCTAACAGAATACACAATTGTGCAAATGAAAAAACTCCAAATGACAAATTTCAATTGTTTATGAAGCAAGCACACATTCTATACTTTGTCAGATAAAAAATATTTGTTAACGCTAAATTGGCAAAAGGAGTGCACAGCTTGTCAAACTGTACCAGGGAGATGGATCAGGTGGACATGACAGCAGAAGAAGAGATCAGAGTGATATAAATACATTTAAGATAAAAAGGGGGGAGATAATCAATAAGCTAACCAAACTCAGGAAGGACTAAACCCCTGGTCCGGATGGATTCTATCCGCATATATTAAATCAATCTAAGGAAGAGATAGAAGAGCCACTATTACACATATATATATATATAATTCATTACAAAAGGCAGTAGTGCCAGAGGACTGGAAGATAGCTAATATTATACCTATATTTAAAATGGAAGATAGAACAAGCTCAGGGAACTATAGACCTGTCAGCTTAGCATCGGTGGTAGGAAAGATAATGGAAGCTGAAGTTTCCTAGAGTTACCAATAGCCTAAATATGGAAGATCTAGATTGTGCCAAACTCAAACATCACAAATAATCATGGCAAAAATCACTTAATACAAAACAACATTGGATTAGTTATATTTCAGATATTGGGGATTAATAGCTAGCAATCTCCAATGGGACAGCAAAATAAGTATACAGGAAATGCATCATGATAAGCTGCAGGAGCTCTGCACCTACACAATTTATCTGAACAGCAAATTTCCCGCGAGTCAGCATGAAGTACTTCCCTCATTTAGATTCCTTATCAAACTATCCCATTAGGTATGATTTCAAAATAGACCCCAATAGAAAGTAAACACAGGGTATGTGTGAGAATTATGAATGAACTATAGCAGCTGGGCATAACAGACAAAAAACACTTCTTACTCAACACTGATGAACAAATGTGCATAACATAAATGTATTTACATTATAGTTTTGCTGATACAGATCAGCTAATCAGATGCTGACCTGGTAGAATGACAAGCTAATTAAAATCTAGTTTCCAGTGCAATATCCATGATTTAATATTTCGATCAAGGTATTTGGTTCAATTATTACTGATTAATTAATACTTTACAGTCCATCAACTTACTGATGAACTGATGTATCAACAGTTTAGTAAAAATACTATGTTCTGCACACTGAGATGTTGTAAATCCATAATTCCAGAGAGCATCAAGCATGATAATTAGAGATGCCAAGTCACTAAATAGTTTCCATATTCACTTATTCACTTTTATTTGAACAATATTCACTGATATACAATAATCTTCTGAAATTAAGGAAAAAATATCCTTTAGAAATAGAAAAACAATTTACTTACCATATTAATGGGGGCTCTGACCCTTCAATTTCTAAGTAATCATACTTTTCTTCAAGCTGAAAATCGGTAAAAATGAGGGAGATGGTATCTCCAGGCTCTGCAGCAATAGTCCAAGTGCAGTCTGCATTATTGCTGTACTCGCCGGGAAAGTTTGGGCTGGAAACAATGCCACTGGATCCTTGTACAGTTCCACCACACCCATCTTCAGCTGCAGGAAAATAAAGCAATTTATTATTAATTTGGTAACCAAAGGCATAGTCAAAGAGGTAGCATTTTAGGTATAAAAGATTAAGTGCAACAGGATTCTATTTTAGCTCAAATTCTGATGTCGTATTTTCTGGTCCCAGAACATGATGATATTAGTATGATATTAGGTGCTGTTGTGGCAATCTGGCTAATGGATTCTCAATCGGTTCATCTAGCATTTGTTGGTTAAAATAATTGTCATTAATATTGGTGTTGTTAATGGCTCATTATTCACAGGAGTGGAAATCAGAGTGAGGGAAGAACACAGTTGCTTTATAACTGCAATATGTTGTCCTTTCAATGCATTTTTACATTCTCCATGTTTTACCATTACTGGAAGAGCTGCAGCTCCATGTCTGATGACAGCACGTTTTATATTCTGCTACACTGACTGATGAGTTACATTGAATCTGTAATACAGTATGAAACTTTTTATGAAATCTAATTTTTATAGAAGTATAGTGCAAAAAGAAGCCATTTGATCCAAGGCTGACGTCTGTCAAGTAGTCTAATCTCTATATATGTCCCTAATGCTCCTTAAGAACATATAAGAACATAAGAATTAGGAGCAGGAGTAGGCCATTCGGCCCCTCGAGCCTGCCCCACCATTCGATAAGATCACGGCCGATCTTCTGACCTAACACTAATTACCTGCGCTATCCCCATATCCCCTAATCCCTCTATTTTTTAAAAATCTATCAGTCTCAGCCTTGAAGATGTTCAAGGACTGAGCATCTATAGCCTTCTGCCTCTGAGTGAAGAAATGTTTCCTCAACTCTGTTCTAAAAGGTTGACCCTTAATTTTAAGACTGTGAACCCTAGTTATAGATTCTCCTACCAGGGGAAACAGTCCCTCAGTGTCTACTTTATCCAGCCCTTTAAGAATCTTATATGTTTCAATAAGATCTCTCCTAATTCTTCTGTACTCTAGAGAATATAGCCCTAGTTTATTTAACCTATCCTCATAGGTCAGTCCCCTCATCCCAGGAACTAACCGAGTGAATCTACGCTGCACCCCCTCTAGGGCAAGTATGTTCTTTTTTAAATAAGGTGACCAAAACTGCACACAATACTCTAGGTGCTGTCTCACCAAGGCCCTATACAGTTGCAGCAAGACTTCCCAACTCTTGTACTCTAAACCTTTTGCAATGAACGCTAACATGCCGTTCACCTTCTTAGTTGCTTGCTGCACCTGCAAACTAACTTTTTGAGACTGGTGTACAAGGACACCCAAATCCCTCTGAACACTAACACTATCTAATCTCTCCCCCTATAGAAAATAATCTGTTTTTCTATTTTTACTACCTAGGTGAATAACTTCACACTTCCCCACATTAAATTTCATCTGCCACTCTACTCGCCCACTCCCCTAGCCTATCTGTATCCCGTTGCAATCTTTTTGCATCATTTTCAGAGCTTACTCTCCCAAATAGTTTAGTGTCATCTGCAAATTTAGATATGTTACATTCAATGTCCTCATCTAGATCATTGATGTAAATTGTAAATAGCTGAGGCCCAAGCACTGATCCTTGTGGCACTCCACTAGTCACATCCTGCCAATTCGAGAATGACCCGTTTATCCCTACTCTCTGTTTTCTACCCGTTAGCCACTCTTCAATCCATGCTAATATGTTCCCATTAATCCCATGGGCCTTAACCTTGTGCAATAGCCTTTTGTGTGGCACTTTGTCAAATGCCTTTTTAAAATCTAAATATACTACATCTACTGGTTCCCCCCTATCTAACCTGCTAGATACATTTTCAAAAAACTCTAAAAGATTAGTTAAGCATGACTTCCCTTTTGTAAAGCCATGTTGACTCTGCCTAATCTTGTTATGGTCTTCCAGGAATCCCATAACGACATCTTTAATTAAGGACTCAAGAATTTTCCCTACCACTGATGTTAGACTAACTGGTCTATAGATCCCCATCTTTTCTCTCCCACCCTTCTTAAATAATGGTGTTACGATTGCAATCTTCGAATCAATGGGAACCGTTCCAGAATCCAGAGAATTTGGGAAGATCAAAGACAAGCCATCCACTATCTCAGTAACCACCTCTTTTAAAACCCTAGGATGTAGGCCATCAGATCCAGGGGATTTATCAGCTTTAAGATCTGACAATTTACCTAAAACCATTTATTTACTTAAGAAAATACTAGACGAGAAAAAGCCCAAGGTCCATCTCGCCTTCCACCTTCCTGGCTGTCGCATGCATATATGTCCCAAAATACCTAAACACCTTTCTCATGTTTCTTTACTATTATCCCAGTTACAATTGTAGCATACATTTGCAAAATGTTAAGATAAATCCTAAGTCAAAATAAAATTGATCATTCACTTCATGGCTGTTCGTGGGGACATGGCTTTGTGCAAATTAGCTACTGTGTTCAACTACAGAATATCCAGTGACGTGATTTGAAATGTCCTCAACGTAAATAAAAGGTTATTGATACAGATTTCAAACGGCCACAGTTTTATTCTATTTAACAAATAACATTCAGAAAGTTCCTGTAGCATTTTCAAAGTTACAGTGCCATTGTTTCACCATTATCTTTTACTTCCCATACATCATTCTCTAATTAAGCAACACGATTCATGTAATGATGTTTCATTCTCTTTATCTGTATTTTATAATTAATGTCAATTCATCAACTCAATAGATATGAACCTGAGGAGTTCCTTTAATTAATAATAAATTATGTTTGAAATCAAAATCCTTTATGTGATGCAGATTATTACAAAGCCAAAAGAATGAATTATCATATTATTACTGACAAAATAAAGTGCACATATTAATCAAACTAACACAACATACGAGACTAAGGTATCAAGTTATCCTAAATGACATAAAAGCAATACATCAGTAGCAGGGCTTATCCTGTACAAATTCCATTTCTCCACAGCACAATAATCTGACCTTCAGGAGAAGAAAATGATCTACTGACAAATCATTCCTAGAAGTATGGAAATCATGAGAGATAAAATTCTAATTCACAAGTGGAATCAAGACTAGATGGTGGGTTCAAGCCCCTCGTCATGAACTTTGAGTTCACTTTGATCAGTCTAAGCTGATGCTTAGATGCTTAACAATAACAAGAAATTGCATCTAAATAGCGCCATTCACATTAGGAGGACATACCAAAGTGTTGAACAGTGAAGGGTTTGCACTAAAGCTGGTGGTTGGATATTTTATTAAACATTGTTATGTACAAATTGTATTATATTTATAAGTGTATATTTATGCTTGACAGGGGAGTGCTGGGGACATGCTGCGTGTTGTTGGAGGTACCATCCTTTGGATGAGACATTAAACTGAGGTCCCGTCTTCCCATTTAAGTGAACATTAAAGATGCCGTGGCACTCTTCAAAAAGAGAAGGAAGTTTCTCCCACAGTCCTGGGCAATGATCCTTCATGTCATTATCTGAGATATTGCTGTGTGCAAATTGGTTGCTGCATTGCCTATAAAATACACATGTCACTGGACTTCACAGTGAAATCCTGTGAAGCCCTTTTGATATTTTCTCTGACATTGAAGGCACTATATCAAATTCAGGGATTTTGTTTTCAATTAACCTTTATTACTAAAATGTTAAACGGATTATAACATGTGGGTGTAAAGCATACCTGTTCTTCATGAACAGTTCCTCAGTTCCAAACATTTGGTGTCATATTAAAGTCATGCTAGTGTAAAGTCAGTAACACAATTTGATAAGTATTTTCATTAATTGTGCGTTGTAGCATTCACACTCACTGGTCTTAGATTCAGAAAGATATTTAAAATATTGGTTCTATCGACCTTGTAAATTTGTTTCCAAAGTGAGTTATTTTATGGAGAAATACTACTTGCTGAAATGAATTTTTTTCTAACTTATTGAATTAGTCTTTAATTTTAACCAAAGCATTTAATTTTCAGTGGGTTCAGTTTGGCTTGACAAGTAGAATAGATTCAGACAGCATGACCTTTTCAAACATTTTTTCTGCTTATTCCACTTTGATTTATTTGATGAAGATTATATTTTTTTGTAAAATGTGTGGGAAATAAACCCTCATCTTATTTGGCAAGAACAACATTGTCTTAATAGTCTTCCGATTGAGAATGATATTTGAAATATCAAAGAAATTCCTGGAGTTATGGTTCAGAAATTATTGGAAATTCCATATCTGTTCTTCAATAAGCTTTTCTAACAGAGGGGTCTGAGGTTATCTGGGATAGGATTTTAATAGAATGTATGGCAGGAGAAAGGCTATTGATCAATTCAACCTTGGGAATTAAGTCTCTGATTCCACACTGTCAACAGAGACCAAAGTGTTTCTCAGCACTACTGTACGTTTTGGACCGCACATTTATATTTGGCAAGAGTTCTACACACCATCAATCTGCTGAGGAAGTCTTGATGCAATCAGTTGCTGCTTGCAATTTGTACCCTTTGAGCTAGTCGTGTTGTATAATTATTGGATTCTGTTTCATATTCTGTATATCAAGTGGCATTTTGCAGATTCAATGGAGTCGAATTTATGGTATTTCTTAATAAAAAGAATTTAGAAGTCTAGATCTTCATAATCAATGTAGATTCTCTCTTTTGCATCATAATACATCAACAACATTTTAGATTTGTAAAACAGCTTTCCTATTGGGAGGGCACCTCAAAGGACTTCACCCAGCTGACTGGGAGCCTGAGCATGGGTAATGGGGGTTGGGAGGGGGAGAATAGGAGGAGAGAGAGAGAAGGTAGCCAACAACAACAACAAGATTACATTTGTATAGTGCCTTTCACGTCAACAACAACAACAACAACAACAAGATTCCATTTATAAAGCGCCTTTCACGTCAGGAGGACGTCCCAAGGCGCTGCACAGTTGGGTCATGACCCGAGCAGGGGGGAAATGGTCAGGGCGAGGGGAGAGAAGGGAGGGAGCGAGGAGGGGGGAAATGGTCAGGGTGAGGGGAGGGAAGGGAGG